ATTAGGGAACCTGGATCTTTTATAACGAGCAATAAGTATTTTGCCTACTGTTCTGGAGGAGATATCATCTTAATCTTCTGAGACTGTAAACAAACTCACCCTTTGCTTTAGAAGGAGACACTGTATCTTTCAAAACTACTCACTATAGGGGCGCCTGGGTGGCGCAGTCGGTTGGGCGTCCGACTTCAGCCAGGTCACGATCTCGCGGTCCGTGAGTTCGAGCCCCGCGTCAGGCTCTGGGCTGATGGCTCAGAGCCTGGAGCCTGTTTCCGATTCTGTGTCTCCCTCTCTCTCTGCCCCTCCCCCGTTCATGCTCTGTCTCTCTCTGTCCCAAAAATAAATAAACGTTGAAAAAAAAAAAATTAAAAAAAAAAAACTACTCACTATACAAACATCTTTGAAAAGACTGTCCAGAACAAAGGCAGTCAGTGTCTTTGCTCAGAAGATAGGCAAAAATGCAAAAGGCCAGTAGAGAATTAACTCCTAATTCCCCGTGAAGAGATTCTCTCTCTTGTCAGCTTTGAAGAAGAAAGTTGTAAAGAGACCCTGAATTAGTTGTCTATTGCTGCATAACAAATTACCATGACCATAGTGGCTTAAAACTGCACATATTTATTATCTCAAAGTTCCTGTGAATCAGAAGTCTATGTACATTCTAGCTTGATTCTCTGCTTAGGGTCTCTCAGCATGCAGTTAAGATGTCATCCAAGGTGGAATACTCACGTGGAGTACTCAACTAGGGAAGGATCTATGTACCCACTCTTGTGGTGTTGGCAATATTTAGTTTCTTGCAACTGTAGGATTCATGGCAGCTTACTTCTTAGAAGCCAGCAAAGTGTAGAGAGATTAGAGAGGGATACAGAGAAGGAACAAACATCATCAGTGATATGAAAGTGTAAGAGTATCTGTATGCTTGTAGTAAGAGCTCCTCTACAGCAGAATTTCTCAACCTAGGCTTGATAGACATTTTGGGCTGGATAATTCTTTTCCTGTCCCATGTGTTCTAGGATGTTTAGCAGTAACCTTGGCTTCTACCCACTAAATGCTAATAGAATCTCTCTGGTTGTAACAACCAAAAATGCCTTCAAGCATTGCCAAAGTGAACATCCACGTAATGACCACTCAGGTAAAGAAATAGGTGTTTTGCCATTACTTTAAAAACTCCAGTTTTGCTTCTTTCGGTTCGTTATTCTCTCCCTCCCTCCAAAAAGAAACTACTTTTTTGTAATGGTGTTCTTGTTTTTCTTTCTAATCTAGTTTTACCCATTATTTTAAAAAACTTCACATATAAGGAAACATTCATGTGCATTTTTTATATGTGGCTTTGTTTGGCCAACATTATGTTTGTGAGATTTAACTATGTTGTTGCATTTATCTATAGCTCATTTATTTCTATTGCTATGTAATCTTTCACTGTATGAATATGCCATTATTTATTTCACTGTTGGAATTTTTAAATTTTTTTTATTTAAAAATTTTTTTCTTAACATTTATTTATTTTTGAGAGACAGAGAGAGACAGAGCATGAGCAGGGGAGGGGCAGAGAGAGAGAAGGAGACACAGAATCTGAAGCAGGATGCAGGCTCTGAGCAAGGTGTCAGCACAGAGCTTGATGCGGGGCTCGAACCCACAAACTGTGAGATCATGACCTGAGCCAAAGCCAGATGCTCAACCAACTGAGCCACCCTGGCGCCCCTTCACTGTTGGACTTTTGAGTTGTTGACAGTTTCTGGAAATTACAAATAATATTGCTAAACAATATTGTAAATATTTCCTTATATAATTGTGCACATATTTTTATTGGGCACATAGTTTGGAGTGGAATTTCTGAGTCATGAGGAATGCATATCTTCAACTTGAGTAGATAATGAAAATGTTTTTCAGAATGATCGTATCAATTTATACTCCTATTAGCAGTGTATGTGAATTCCCATTACTCCTCCCCCAAACAATATTATCAGTTTAAAAATTTTAGCCATAGTGATTGGTAGCTAGTGGTATTTCATTGTGTTCTTAATTTGCATTTTTCTGATAATGAGGTTGAACATCCTTTCATATGTATATTGACCATTTGAATATCTTCTTTTGTGAATGTCTCTTGCCGATTTTGGGATTTGTAGAGCTTTTATGATTCCTTGGTTGTTTTTGTGTGTTGCACAAATCTTTTCCCATTTCACTGACTTTTTTACCCAGTGTTGTAGAGTAGATATTGTTGCTGTGCCACCCATATCCCCTTGGCGTTCACTTTTGTACAAGGAAGTCTTCTTACTACAAACAACTGAAACTCACTGCCTGAGGACTTTCTTTAGCCACATGAGAAACTTGAGGGTAATCAGGGAGTGGTTGCCCAGGAATAGATCTTAACCAATACCAAACAGGAGTTGGTTAATAAATATGCCATTTTCCTTACCTCTGGAGATAGCTTCTGAAGCTTACTCTACACCATCTCTGAATGGTCTCCAGGATTGAGCCACGGTGCCATGTAGCGATATCATGATCAGCAGTGTATCCCGTATTGCTGCTCTTCCCTACTCTCTTGCCTGTACTTCTTAGAATCACTGTTCAATTATTATTTTTTTAACGTTTATTTATTTTTGAGACAGAGACAGAGCATGAACGGGGGAGGGTCAGAGAGAGGGAGACACAGAATCTGAAGCACAGAATCTGTCAGCACAGAGCCCGATGCGGGGCTTGAACTCACGGACCGCGAGATCATGACCCAAGCCTAAGTCGGCCGCTTAACCGACAGAGGCACCCAGGTGCCCCAAATATGCAGGAGTATTATTAACTATAGTCACCATGCTGTCCATTACATCCTCATGACTTATTTAGTGTACAACTGGAGGTTTGTGCCTTTGACCTCCTTCTTCCATTTTGCCCACCCCCTGCCTCTGGCAGCCCCTCGTATATTCTCTGTGTCTATGAGCTTGGTTTTTTCTTTGTTTTTAGATTCCACATATCAGTAGTGAGATCTTTGTTGACTTTCTTTGCGTGACTTATTAGAAGTTCTTAATTTAAATGTAGATCCTAGTTTATGCTTTTTCTTTTATGGTGGTTGTTGTATCCTGCATAAGAAGTCTTTACCTACCCCCAATGTCTTGACTGTACCCGTGGGATTTTAATTTATGGAGATGACTAAGTGATGACATAGGCTGATGTTATTAAAAGAAGATTTTTATTACTTACGATTTCTGAGAGAGGGGAGCTTGCAACATGGGGTCACATGGGGATGTACCAGCGTTGGTCAGGAGCCAAAGGAATGAGGGGACAATATCACAAAAGCCTTTATTACTACAGGAGTGAGAAGTTGTTAGGTGGAAATGTCCCCTATTAGGTAGAAAGTAAAAACACAAATGTTGGAGTTTGTGGTTGTAGGGTTTGTAATATGATTTCTGTGCACCCACAAAAACCAGACCATGGGAGAGATATAGGCAACTTTGGCCATTAGTTGGCCCTGTGATTAATGTATGTCAAATCATCAATTATAAAATTTCTAAAAGTTGACAAACTTAAAAAAAAAAAACGGTGCCTGGGTGGCTCAGTCATTTAAGCATCTGACTCTTTAGCTCAGGTCATGATCTCATGGTTTGTGAGACTGACCTCTGTGTCTAGCTTTGTGCTCACAGTGTAGAGCCTGCTTGCGATTCTCCCCCTTTCTGCTCCTCTCCCACATGCACACACTTTCTCTCCCTTAAAATAAAGAAACTTAAATAACTTAGTTAGAACACCCAAGGTAGTAAAGAAATTCTTCTTTCATATATTCCAGATGTTTTATTGTTTCACTTTTTTGTATTTAGATCTGTAATCCATTTGGAATTGATATTTCTATGTGGTTTGAGGAAGGGGGCCACATTTCCTTTTTTTTCATACAGATTCATAATCTTGTTGGTATCATTTATAGAAAAGACTATCATTTCCCCATTACTCTATAGTCAGCCTTTGTCATAAGTCAAATGCTTGGGTTAAATCATATGTTTGGGTCTATTTCTAGACTCTGTCCCATTGGTCCTTCTCTCTGTCCCTGTGCTAATGCCACAGTTTTTTTTTAATTGCTCTAACTTTATTATAATCTGATATTCATTAGAGTTAATCCTTCTACCTTGTTCTTCAAGGGCAAATTGGTATTTTTGGAAGATATTCTCCTTTGGTAATAGGGATGAAAGTTGTCTTCTGTTTGGTGACTATTACTTATTTTTAATCTTCTGAGCATGAGGTAACTTGTTTTGGGGCTAATAACATTTATTTTGGTATTTCTTCTTAATTGGCTCATATGGTCACTGAACAGTCCAGGTATTGTGCAATAAGGATATAGGTCAGGAGACTACAAAAAGAAACAGTGCTATATCAAGTACATTATATCATAATGTGATATCCGGAAACCCCTTGTCTGTATTGGTAGATTTGTCCATTCAGAAAAAATTCTTCATTTCCCCAGGTTTAGTACCACTGTTTGGTTCTAGGGATAGTATAATTTGATTTATAAAAAGTTCATTTATAAAATTTTGAATGCTAATATTGCTTTACCTTGAAAAACTATAATTAATTTGGACAACTAGAATTACGGAAATTGTTTTACTTGCACAAACAGGAACCAGTGAGGGAAATTTGTCATTCTGTAGCTATCTGGGAGGTTTGGATGAAGCTTTTCAAATATCATCTTGCCACAAATACCCTTTGTGCCTTTTTCAGTTAATCTTAGTCTCTTGGTACCGTTCAGGATTGAACTGTATCTCCTGTCACTACTGTAGGTTAAGCTGGACCCAAAGGGCTGAAGTAGAAATGAAAGTTGGACACAATGAGATGAACTCTCCTCATTGTCAGACTTTCTGGAAACTAGTGCACTAGGCTTATGATGGGTCAGTAATTGTAACTATCGTCTATATTGTCTATGCTGAGTAGGTTCATATATAAAAATGTATGAATATGATCAGTGTAGAATATTCAAGAGGAAAACCCATTCTTGTATTGTGTATTTATGGTGTCCACATTTATCTTAATAGGTTAATGCAGCTGAATCAAAGATAACAAATTTAATATACCTAAAACATACCTTGGAACTTGTGGATCCTTTAAAGGTAACTTTAGCTGTATATTGTACAAAACATGTCTAGCATCAGTTTTTAAAAAAACTTTTTGTCTCCAAATAATTTCAAATTTAGATAAAGTTGCAAGAATAGTATAATAAATTTCCATATTCTCTCCTTACTCACACAACAGACACTACCAATTGTTATACTTATCATTACTCTTACTGAACTATTTGAAAATTACAGTACCTAAATACTAAAGTGTATATCTCTGAGAACAAAGATGTTTTCTTAAATAAACATGGTGTAATTAAAAAAATTAGGATATTTAACATTGATCCAATACTATTATGTGTACAATATGTTCAAAATTTTCTAATTGTTTTAATAATATTTTTAATGGATTTCTATTCTTGATACAGGGTCAACCCCAGGACCATGCATTGTATTTACTGTCATGTTTCTTTATACCTTTTTAAATTAAAAGTTTCTCATCCTTTCTTTGTCATGATATTAACATTCTAAAGAGTGGCAGTTGTTTATAGGATATTCCTCAATTTGTGTGTATGGTTATTTTCTCATGATTAAATTTAGCTTGTACATATTCAGCAGTAATACTCTATGGGAAAAGTTGTACCTTTCTTAGTACATCACATCAGGAGGCACGTGATACCATTCCACATTCTGGTGATATGAATTTTGATCAATTCACTGTGAAGTTATTAATCTATGGAGAGATACTTTGAGACTATATAAATATCCTGTTCACTTGATTTTAATATTTATTTCTAACTCTTACTTGAAGTACCTCTGATGTGATTTTTTTATAAATACTGTATTTTAAATACTAAAATGTGCAAAACTTGTTTTTAAACATATATTTATTTAAATAATCTCTACACCCAGTGTGGGGCTCAAATGCACAACCCTCAGTTCAGGAGTCTCATGCTTTACCAGCTGAGCCAGCCAGGCACCCCTGTGCAAAACATTTTTAAAAATTAAGGTGACAAAGAAGAACTGCTTTTTTAAAGAAAAAATAATGGAAAATGTGGAAGAATTTTGTTATAGAGTTCATTCTAATAAATACTATATAATCAAAACAATTTGGCAAAAGGTTTAAAAAATGTTGCCATCTTTCTTAGAATGAAAGAAGTATAATAAATCATCCCCCACAATTGATAGATTTGATAAAACACAAATTTTAAGCTTTGACATGTCAAAGGCAAAGTAAAGGCCAAAGAAAATTAGGAAACAGTCTCTTTAACAAATGGTGCTGGGAGAGCTGGACAGCAACATGCAGAAGAATGAAACTAGACAACTTTCTTACACCATTCACAAAAATAAACTCAAAATGGATAAAGGACCTGAATGTGAGACACTAAACCATCAAAACCCTAGAGGAGAAAGCAGAAAACCTCTCTGACCTCAGCCGCAGCAATTTCTTACTTGACACATCCCCAAAGGCAAGGGAATTAAAAGCAAAAATGAACTA